GGATGCCACAATGAAGGGCCTACCTGCTCCTCATCCTGGCACACTCATCTTTGGTATTAACAATATTTTCTTCCTAGACACCTGCCTTCTCACCTCCCCCAAGGAACAGATGCCTGATGTCTCTGGGCTGACAGTACATAGGATGCCTTTCCAGCTACACCTTTCGCTGAGCATGACCCACCAACACCTAGCTCTCCCCTTCCCCACGTCGCCCTATACCCGCAGGAAGTAGTCAGACTTGAGTCAATGCCCCTTTTTCCTAGAGAGCCTAAATTGTTGGTCACAATTATCACTTCAATTTCCTGTCATCCCTATATCCAAAGAGTCTGGAATGTTAAGTTGGAAGCATAGTCCCCAGCCCCTCGCATCCATCCCAGCCCCCAGGCCTGAGAGTTGTATTGGTCTGGACTCCAAATCCCAGCATGCCAGTTTCTGACCTCTCTCTGGTGGGGATCAGGACCACTCCCACAGGGTATTTAAGTGAGCTCCCAAAAGAGAAACACATGGTGTCTTTCCTCTCCTCCTGGTGGTCGCATTTGTAGCCTCCCATTTCTCCCTCGGGGCCATCTGAGAGCGCAGGAATACCATTAAACCTGGATATTTTTCAATTTGGCTTCTTGTGATTTGGCTTGATTGGGATTTTTGCGTCAGCAGAGAGCTCACATTAGGAAAAATTCCTAACACCTGAGGCCTGGGTCAATTGCCAATACTTTTAAGAAAAAAAAAAAAGATAATTTATGATGCTATCTGTAAACAAAAAGTGAAAGTTATGTATTCTGAAAACTACACTGTCCAAAGAAATTTTAAAAGCTTAAGTAGACATTCCTGGTTCTTGCATGGAGGACAAAGTGACCTGTCATTATCCCTATCACAATACCTATAATGTGTTTTTGCAAAAATAGAAAACCACTATAAAATTCATATGGAATCTCCAAAGGCCTTGACTAGCCCAACAAGCAAGAAATAAGAACAAAGTTGGAAGACTCACTTCGTGATTTCAAACAGTATGGTGAGCCGGGCGGTGGTGGCGCACGCCTTTAATCCCAGCACTCGGGAGGCAGAGGCAGGCGGATCTCTGTGAGTTCGAGACCAGCCTGGTCTACAAGAGCTAGTTCCAGGACAAGCTCCAAAACCACAGAGAAACCCTGTCTCGAAAAACAAAAAAAAAAAAAAACAAAAACAAAATCAAACAGTGTGGTGCTGCCATAAAGACTGCCAATAGATAAGGACTGCCTTATCAACGATTTTTGAAGAAAATCAGAACATACGTGTGTGTGTGTGTTGTCTTTACACTGTATACAAAAGCTAGCTATGAAATAATAGAGGAAGCCGGGCAGTGGTGGCGCACGCCTTTAATCCCAGCACTCGGGAGGCAGAGGCAGGCGGATCTCGGTGAGTTCGAGGCCAGCCTGGTCTACAAGAGCTAGTTCCAGGACAGGCACCAAAGCCACAGAGAAACCCTGTCTGGAAAAACAAAATAAACCAAAACAAAAAAAAACATAAAACAAAAAAACTACAGAGAAACCCTGTCTTGAAAAAAAAAAACAATATAAAAGCACAGACAAGAAAAGGAAAACTACATAATTTAGTTTTCTTTTTTATTTTTTTATATATTTTTTATTTTTTTAAGATTTATTTATTATGTATACAACATTCTGCCTTGATGTATGCCTGCACGCCAGAGGAGGGCACCAGATTTCAGTACAGATGGTTGTGAGCCACCATGTGGTTGCTGGGAATTGAACTCAGGACCTCTGGAAGAGCAGCCAGTGCTCTTAACCTCTGAGCCATCTCTCCAGCTCCCTTTTTATTTTTTTGGTTTTTCAAGACAGGGTTTCTCTGTAGCTTTGGAGCTTGTCCTGGAACTAGCTCTTGTGGGCCAGGCTAGCCTCGAACTCACAGAGATCCGCCTGCCTCTGCCTCCCAAGTGCTGGGATTAAAGGCATGTGCCACCACCATCCGGCTCTTTTTCTTATTGTGTTCTCCTGTGTTAGTGTTCATGGGATCATTGTGCAGTACACACGTGTACATATGTGTCAGAAGACAACGTTCGGGAGTCAGTTTTCTCATTCCATGGCAGGTTTTGAATGGAGAGGTGTCTAGTACTTACTCGTGGGCTGCTTAGAGGAGAGAGTGGGCAGCTCAGTCCATCTGCTTTGACCAGTGACTCCCAGCACCCTCTTCCTGTTTTAGGTTCTACCAGAGTCTCAACCTGGGCAGGGTCGAACACTGAACGTATTGAACACAGGCCACAGATTAGGGGAAGGTAGACCCAGACAGCTGAGCAGATGGAGACCATGCATCCTGTGTCCAGTCTGAGCTGGGATGAGGCCAGAGAGGGGCCTTCATGCTTAGTCTCTGTGAGGCGTCTAATCCTCAGAGTAGCCAAGAGCTGCTTAGCACTCTTGATTTTAGCGGTCATCGTCTCTAACACTGCACTGCATTTTTTTTTTTTTTTTTTTTTGGTTTATCGAGACAGGGTTTCTCTGTGGTTTTGGAGCCTGTCCTGGAACTAGCCCTTGTAGACCAGGCTGGTCTTGAACTCCCAGAGATCCGCCTGCCTCTGCCTCCCGAGTGCTGGGATTAAAGGCGTGCGCCACCACCGCCCGGCTTGCACTGCATTTTCTAACCTTAAACCAGACACTTGCACTGTATTTTTTTTTTGGGGGGGGGGGAGCCTGAAAGGGGCCCACAGCTCTGCCTACAGGGTCGGTGTTTCGCGAGTGTGGGCGTCCACATCTGTTACACAGTCTTGCTGACCATGGGACCCCCGGCACATCTCCGCCCTTGGAAGGTGTGCAGATGACGTGATAGCATCCGGAGACATGTCTGCTGTGCTGGGTGCAGAGTCCAGCCCTGCCGAGTTTGAGTTCTTCCGTGTGAGATCTTTCCTTTCCCATCTAACTGGACATTTTCTTCAAGATCCTTGGGCCAGAGAAAAGAGGTGTTGATACTCTCAGGGCAAAGCTTTTAATAATGAGTAGATGCACCCAGGAACACAATTGCCATGCTCCTGCCTCCAGAGCTTTGCCCACAGGAGGGTGGGACAAGCCGCTAGGAACTGATGTTTCATGAGTGAGGCAGTTATTAGTGGCACAGACTGGGTTCAGAATGGCCTCCTGAAGGAAGGAGTGCTAGGTGAGACAGGATTAGAGCCCTGAGCCTGCCAAATCTTTCATACACGCAGGACACAGCTGAACGTGAGTTTCAAGGAAAACAGCCCCTCCCCCCTTCTGTGTTGCTGAGAGTTAAACCTAGGACTTCACACACTAGACATTGCTCTTCCCCCCACCCCGGCCTCAAATACTTTTTTTGTTGTTGTTTTGAAAATGCAATTATATTCCAAACACTGAATGGAATATGGTTATGTAGTAACCTTCTTCATCTTCTTGAAACTTTGAAGGAAATGAATGTCTGTACTGCCCGGCTGAGCAAGCAGCCTCAAAACAGATCTGAACGTTGCAGGCTAGAGACCTATGGAAAGGCCCCTCCCTTCGCATAACTTAGCCAACTGAGTGGGTCGGTAATCAGAACCTGCTTGTCCACCTGCAAGACAGATGAGCAGTGAACCTCAAATGGCAGTCTAGGCGAGAATTGGCCTCACCTGGGAAGAAAGCTGTCAGAACACAGAATCCAAGATGGGGGAGGGAAGGAGGAAGGGAGAGAGGGAAGGAGGGAGGGAGAGAGGGAAGGAGGAAGAGGCAGTCTGTCATAATGGGAAAGTAGTGACTTGCAGCCCCTTCTGTACGGCAGGCATCTCATGGTCATTATCCCCAGGAAAGGATGCTGGCTTGAGCTGAGGCGTCTCCCGGCTCAAGTTCTACCTTATCAATACAGGGACATCAACTGTAAAGGTCAGAGTCCTCAATGAGTTCCTCAAAAGCTGAGTCATTAAGCCTTGGCAGGTGCAAGCCAAGAATTAGTATGGCGCACGAACTTCCCGTGCTCTAGGTCCAGAGGTTTCTGGACGCGCCCTGCCCTCCGTTATCAACATGGTGTGACTATCTGGTCAGGGTGCTGTCCTCTAAGATCCCTGCAGTCCTTTCACCTTTTACAGGATCTCCAGGATCAACCAGATGAGTTTTCACTGTCAAATACTTTGGTGACAACCACACTGGTACTTTCATCTTCATTCCCAGGGAATTCAGAGGTCCCCTGCCAGGACTGCACTTCCTCCTGCCCTTCCTGCCTCAGCAGTCCCTCCAACCAAATGTGGCCCTTCTCAAACGTCCAGCATCCTGTCTTCCCCACCATGACTATTTCCCATTTGGGTACTACCCAAATGTCAGCCCTCCACCCTGGAACGTAGACCTTGAGAGTTGCCAATACTTCCCCTACTATAGGCAAACGCTGATGATACAAGCCCAAAGTTGTGAAGTCAACTGTAGCTTAGGGGTTCAAACACCCCCCCTCCCAGTGTTTTTCTGTGTAGCCCTGGCTGTCCTGGAACTCACTCTGTAGACCAGGCTAGCCTCTAACTCAAGATTTACCTGCCTCTAGGTATGTACCATCACTGCCTGGTTAGGGGGCCAATTCTTGGTTCCCATAAATGTTCCTGCATGCAGACTGCCTTGTTCTCAATTCTAAACAAGGTCATGGTCAAGACACATGTGTAAATAAAAATGTCAGATCATAAGGTAGTCCCAGACTGGAGAACTGCCTCAAGCTTCCAGTAAGCCCTGCCCCTTTCCTTCATTTCCAGGTTCACATGGCCAAGTGCCTCCTCGTCCAGGGTAGCCCATTCCTGACTCTATTCCGAGTATACCTGTCCTACTTTAGACTCCATTCTCAAACTGAGTCTAAGAGACAACCCTGCCAGTCCCAAGCATCCAATTCTTCACATGAGAAGGCCATTTGGATCAATAGAATCACAGAACTTGATACAGGGCTCTGAGTCAGCCGAGCACAACCAACACTGGACCAGCAGAATTGGGACAGGCTTCTCATGGCTTACACAGCTGACCTCTGCTTGCCAAACAAGGCACTGCATCCAGCAGAACCACTTTATAAAAGTTTATTAACTCTGGAGATTTGGGAAAGCAGTGTCTTCCCAGATGCCAGAGGCTTACAGCCCGGGTGGGGCACCTGGAATCTTTACTCTGTTAAGCAGGATGGTAGTCCAGTAGTACCAAGAAGATGGAGTGCCCAAGTCCGCCACTTCGAAGTTCAGTCTGTCCAGGCAGTGAGCATCAGAGTGTGCCCACAAAAAGTGGGAAGCCCACTCACTCCATCCAGGTCAGGATGCCCAATTCAGTGTCCTCAGGCCCAAGCCACCTCAAGAGGGCTTCGCTGTGGGTTTAGGTTTCTTCCCCCTGTGCTTGAAGTCACGCAGTGGGTTCCGAGTCTTCACCTTCTACAGGGCAGAGTCACAAGTTAGTTGTGGGCAGTCAGATGATCCCAACAGAGTGAGCAGTGCTGGCAAGATCCCCATGCCACACGCCAGACACTGCCAGCAGCTGCACACAATCTGAGCGGTCAGCTAAGGGCATTCAGGCCACTGTGGGAAGACAACAAGCCCACACCCCTGTTCCTGGGAGTCCTGTCTCTCCCTCAGACAAGGCAGCTGCTGAAGACGAAGGGCAAAGTAGGAAGGAGCCCTGCTATTGTCCCAAGACTCCCAGGAGACATACCTTAGTCTTCTTAGAGGAGGGCAGCTTTCTCCGTTTCTTCCGAGGTTGTACAAGGCCACGAAGAGCAGCAGGAACTGGAAGAGATGCTGGGTCTCAGGCATAGCCTCACCCGTTTCTAAACTCTAGCTACAGAGACCCATGAGACCTGGCCTCCAGCATTGTCCCATCCCCTTTTCAGTGCTACCCTAAAGTGCAGCACAGTCTCAATCTTGACTCAAGAAACACTTCCAGCCAGGCAGGGGTGGCACACACTAGCACTCAGGAGGCAGAGGCAGATGGATCTCTGACTTGAGGCCAGCCTGGTCTACAGAGTGAGTTCCAGAACAGCCAGGGATACACAGGGAGCCTCAGAAAGCAGAGAAGGAAAAGGGAGGGGACGGGAGGAAAGGGTCTCTAATACTCAATTATTTGTTATATTTACACAGACAAAAGATTAAGTTAGCTCCCTGGATTCCCACTGTCTAAACCATAGCTGTAATGTTTTAGTTCACTACAAAGAACAGGTACCAAGAAAAAAGAAAAGCTGTGGCTGGGCGGTGTGATGCAAGCATTTAAACCCAGCACTCAGGAAGCAGAAGCAGATGGATCTCAGTGAATTCGAGCCCAGCCTGTCTACAAAGCGAGTTCCAGGACAGATGCAACTGTTACACAGAGAAACCCTGTCCACCCCCCCAAAAAAACCAAAACAACAACAAAAACAAACAAACAAAGAAAGAAAGAAAGAAAGAAAGAAAGAGGAGAAAAGCCAAAGGGACCCACCCAGCACGTGGATCAAGGCAGAGGTCTTCAGTCACCGTCCTGAGGAACCTGTCTCTCAGCTCTTCCCCTAGTATTAGCATGCTCCCAGCTCTCCTGGGCCCTTTCATATCACATCTTTTCTGCCCCAGGTGTCCCTCCTATACCTTCCTGTCACTTCTACGTCAGTGTATCAGCAAACTACCTCCATTCCAGGTAGGCAAGATCAGGAATGGTGGAGGGCCTAACTCACGGTCCAGCCACCTCACTCTTCTCCTTTATGGTCATTGTGAGCACACAAGGCATGAATACTCATCACCAAAAATACTCCACGTTAGACACCCAAGCAGTAAAGCTATCACCCAGAGCCTTGCTGAGACGAGAAGGGCAAATGGCTACTCTCCTTCCCTGTGTGGTGTGTTTCCCTTGCTGCCTGCCAATTGAGCATTCTCTAGCCCAAGACCCACCCTCACACCTGCTCGGCCTCTTCAGAACACAGGACGCCCCTCACCGGCTCATTCTTCCCATCAGCCAAACCCTGGGAATGGGCCACCAACTCTACCCAACCAGTTTTCTCATCTCCACAAGAGACAAGACAGCTACCATGGGCTGGGTTGAACAAATCTACATGAGCTAGTACACAGTGGCACAGCTGTTTATGTTCACACAGGCTGCCTGCCTGGGTCTCTAGGTCCTTTTACACGCATGAAGCTTTCCCAACACCAAACACAGGGGCCGGTGGAGATGGCCAAGAAAAGCTAGGCCATTTCCTCCAGTCTCCTGACCCTCAGCAACACTCACCCAAGTAGTCAGGGACATTGCCCAGATGAGGCTTTACCACCGCAGGATGCAGGGGCAGATCATGGCGTAGCAGCTGGAGATCCCTGGGATTGTCTTCAAAGTATGTCTGACAGGCAGAGAGAGCCCACGGTTTAAGAGGCGCAAGAAGCAACATCCATGAAGTTTGCCTATCACTTTGTTCTTAGCCCTCCTCAACAGCCACAGCCTAGCACAAACCACAACAGGCGTCCATACCTGACCTCTTCTGGCCAAGCAAGGCACTGCTTGCTGCAGCAATGCCAGATACCACACCGTGACCTTGTAGAAATCTGTCAGCTCTGGAATGTAGTTCCTTCACACAAACCAGAGATTGGCAACTCAGGACAGCTAGATGCTGGTTCTTCTGAGTTCCAACCATGGGTACAAGGACATCCTTCTCTACGATACAAACAACACTCTGAATCACTAGCTTAGTGTCATCTCACAGATGAGATTCTTCAACACACCTAAAACCTCTTCACTTTTTCCAGTGTCGGTGTAACATCCAGGAATGGCCCGTACATTCTAAGGTACATGGTGTGGACCCTATGGGGCTTCCATCTTTCGCTTCCTAATAGTGTGTGCACACTCACATGCACACACACCCTATGTACGCTCACTTGTGTCTAATACCAAGTGCCCACCATGAAGTGTGTCCACCATCCTCCCAGCAGACCAGCTGTCTTCAGCTGATTTCCTGTCTCCCTGCCAAAGGCCAGCACACTGTCCAGCTCTCCGTTTCTCACTACCCAGAGCTTAGCCAGCCTTCAAAAAGGACAGCTCCCAAGCTTGCCCTCACCTTGAGCTTCTCTGAGTGTAGAAGTTCCTCCTTGATCTCCTTCAGTCTCGCCTCTCGAATGGCCTGTTTGGTCACTGAGCGCATGGCATCCTGTGGGCAGACCAGGAGTCAGGCAGCTCAGCGATGAGGTCACAGCCCATTCCTCAACCAGCCCCCTGTCCACCCCAGTGTTGAGCTCACCCTGCAGCGATAGCGAAAGCTTTCAATCTCCTCCATCTGGAACTGGTAGGGAAGCAGGATGGGAGCCTCGCCCTCTGGGGAGAAGGCAGCAGTGAGGAGGGCAGGGCCATGTCAGGCCTTCCCTGGCAGCCTGCTGCTCCTCTTCTCCCAATGAGGCCATTCCCTGAGACAACTCAGCATCACTATACTTGAAGCCTTCAATTAGCTATGTAGCCTAGGCTGACCTAGAACTCCGAATCTTCCTGCCACCACACCTGCCTCAAACTCCCAAGTGCTGGGATTATAGTATGTGATACCACACTTGGCATTGTTGCTAAGTGCCCTCTTCTCCCATCTGGGACCCTTAAAAAATGGTTTATTTTCTATGTGTGTGTTTTCCCTGCATGCACATACATGTACCATATACATGTCTGGTGCCTGCAGATGCCAAAAGAAGGTGCTGGAGTTACAGACAGCTATGAACTACCAAGTGGGTGCCAGAAACTGAACCTGGGTCCTCTAAAAGAACAAGTACTCTTAACCACTGATCCATTCTTTGATTTAAAAATAGCAACAACACACCAGGTGGTGATGGGTGCATGCCTTTAACCCCAGCACTCGGGAGGCAGAGGCAGGTTAATCTCTGTGAGTTCGAGGCCAGCCTGGTCTACAAGAGCTAGTTCCAGGACAGGCACCAAAAACTATAGAAAAACCCTGTCTGGAAAAACAAAACAAAACCAACAACAAAAATAGCAGCAGCAACAACAACAGGGTCTTGCTATATACCCTAGGCTAGTCTCAAATTGCCAATCATCCAGTGCTCTCCCCATGTTCTCTGATGACCACCGTATTATGCACTGTGGTAGGTTTCAAGGTGTGATGGGAGAAGTCTGGCTCTTAGAGGTCCACAGTCACAGAGCAAGGGCTCTTACCTCCACTGAGAAGCGCCTCAATCTTTCCCAAGCAAGACCGTTCTGTGGGCAGCACAAAGGTCAGAACTATGCCTGGGTTGTTGGCTCGAGCTGTCCTACAGTGGGAGGGGATCAAATATGCATCACTAGCCTGTCCAGGAGTTGGCCTGTCCAGATCACTCCAACTCCTTCAGCATGGCCTGGCTCACCACACTGCTATTGTCCTACCTGCCAGCTCGATGAACATAGGCTTCTGGAGTGGGAGGGAGATCAAAGTTGAGTACCGCAGATACATGGTGGAAGTCTATGCCCCGGGCCACACCTGACTCTGGATCAGAGGTGCTGAGGAAATAACCCAATGTCAGCCAGATCCTAACCTCAGCAAAGGGATGCTCAAGTTCAGTCTCTAAACTATCTTGCAAACAAAGCTGAAAGACCAAACAACTGGACATTAGAATTATTCTAGGGCTTGCCCTGACCTCAGTTCTGGGTAATAGCAGAACACTGACCCACAAACCACCCCTGTGACCCTGAACTCTTTGAGCAAGGGTCCGCGAGACTGCCCGGTATAATCATCAAGAACATCTGGCCACCTGCTCTGCGCACTTTGCCTTCAGTCCTACAAATGCAGACAAGCAGTCCTCTTGGGGGAAGCTGAAAAAGAGAACTGTGGACTTACTTGTCTCCTTTGGCTCCTCGGCCTCGCCGCTTGCCTTTGACTGGTGGTCCCAGGATTTCAGCATCTGTTGCTATGACACAATCATAGAAGCCCTGGTTGAACTGTGAGATGATGTGGCACCTGCAAGCCAAGAGGAAAGGCCAGGCTGCATCACAAGAGGCTCCCCCAATACTAGCATCACCCTAACCACCACCCTTTCCGACTCTGCCCTTTCTACTCTCTTTTGTCATCTTCACAACGGGCTGGAGAGATGGCTCAGTGGTTAAATGCACTGGCTGCTCTTCCAGGAGACCTATGTTTTATTCCCAGTACCAATATGGTGGCTAATAAGCTGTCTGTATCTCCAACGTCAAGAGATCCATCTTCCTCTTCTGGCCTCCATAGGTACGAGGCATGCATGTAGGACACAAAAATCTATGCAAGCAAAATACCCAATGCACATAAAAATAAATAAATAAATAAAAATTTTCCCTTTAAATGGAGCACCAGTAAGTATTTCAGAGTTGTGAGAAATACTTGTCAGGCCTGTTTAGAGTCTGAATCCCAGCAAGTGCTTAAAAAACAGGAACAAAAGCCGTGGTATACATGTCTTTAGGAGGCAGAGGGGAGGGAAAGAGAGAGAAAGAGAGAGAGAGAGAGAGAGAGAGAGAGAGAGAGAGAGAGGAAAGAAGGAAGGAAGAACAAAGGGCCAGGTATACAGCTCAGTGGCTGAGTGCTTGTCTGGCATCAACAAGGTTCTGGGTTGAATCCCTAGCACTTCAAAGAGGAAGGAGAGGAGAGAGGAAAGAAGACCAAGCTGTTTGAGCTGGCCCAGTTTTAATTCCAACACTTGGAAAACTGAGGCAGGAGAACTCCTCTAAATTCAAGGCCAGCCTGGTCTACAATTCTAGCATAGAGCCCTATCTCTTAAAAAAAGAAAGAACAAACTGCACTCTCCCTTCCATGTTTCCCTCAGCTTATCTTCACCAGGACGCAGACCCCAGCAAACCTGGAGCGCAGCGGGAGCTCTCCATTGAGCACGCAGGACGGAATGCTGAACTGTTCCAGGAAGAGCCGCAGTCGGTAACCCCTCTCCAGAGTGTTGACAAAGAGCAAGGCTTTGCCCCGAATCAGCGAGAGCTTGAGCAGGGCATACAGCAGCAAGAATTTGTCTTCTTCCGTCTCACAAACCACCTGAAACTGCTGCAGCTGCTCTGGCCCCGGCAGCTGGGACTCCTGTAACTTGAGGGTAACCTAGGAAGAGGACACACCTGTGATCAGAAGAGAAAGTGAAGAGGAGCTATGGCCACTGCCTCAGCAACCAAAGCACCCACATCAGCACAGAGCAGACAGTGAGCCATCACCCCATCCTCCCCACACCCTACCCCCAGGGTTGAACCTAAGAACTCAAAGCACCCTAACTGTTGTGATATATAGAAATGCATACTATACGCACAGCACCGCGGATATAACAAAGAGAAACACTGATTAAGAGACAATACACAGCACAGTAGGTATGCATAATGGTCCTCGAGACTGAAATATATACAAGAGAACGCTGGCCCCACCCCAAACACCAAGTTTCCTCTGAGAGGGAGCCTCGAGTGTCCCCGGCTCCGGCTCCAAATGCTCCCTCAGCAAGCTAACTTACCGGGTTATGTAGTACCAGCTCCCTCAGCAAGCTAACTTACCGGGTTATGTAGTACCAGCTCCCTCAGCAAGCTAACTTACCGGGTTATGTAGTACCACCTCCCTCAGCAAGCTAACTTACCGGGTTATGTAGTACCACCTCCCTCAGCAAGCTAACTTACCGGGTTATGTAGTACCAGCTCCTTCAGAGCTTGTACGTCATCATTGAAAGTGGCCGACATGAGAAAGGCCTGGTAAATCCGAGGCAAGTGACTGAGGAAGAAAAACAGGACCTACTGAGGCTCCATTCCACCCATCCCACTTCAGTCCCAAGGTTAGACTCACAGAGGTTCCCACTAGGAGCCACTTCCGTTACCTCCTTACCAGAGAAGACTCTTGAGTTCATCCTCAAAGCCAAAGGAAAAGAGAAGGTCAGCTTCGTCTATCACCAGCAGCTCCAGGGAGTCACGGAGCTTCAAGCTGTCTTGCTGTAAGTGGTTTAATATTCGGGATGGGGTCCCCACCACCACATCTGGCTTCTCCATCAACACAGCTCTGCAGGTGGCAAGTTATGGACAGCAAGAATTTAGCAGCCAGAACCTCATCCTGGCAGACCTGCCTCCTCCGGCTGCTCACCAAACCAGAGTCACACGCATTAGCACCCTGCAGCTTCCACCCACCTCTGAGAAGCGGAATCTTCAGCAGCTGAGACATTAGCCACTCGCACATCCCGAGCACAGTAGGCAGCCAGCTGCTGAATCATTGACTGGGCCTGCCGCGCCAGCTCCTTCGTAGGAACAAGGACAAGGCCTCTCACAGCTTGTTCCATTACAGGACCTGTCTGTAAAAGCCTGAGTTACAGACTGTTAAAAATATCGGGTCCACCTAATGCTTTTCTCCGCCTCCCCCAAACCGTGGGGACTGAGCAATACAATCACCTAGCTATGTCCTGATAAACTCTTAATTCTGCCCACCTCGGAACACTGAATGGGAGAGCTTTCCAGAGCATTGAAATTTAAAAATACCTTGCTGCATGTCTGAAATGAATTAACACAGACTCGGTATGGAGCTGATGTGCCTTCTCTAGATAAACAATGGTTTACTCGAGAGTACAACAAGGCTGGTGGTAGTGGTAGCAAGACCTGGGTTGAAAGCCAGGGAACCTGAACTCCAGCTCAGAGTTTATACCACAAATGGACCAGCCAAACAAGAGAAATCTTGGCATAGATGGGCACCTCCTTCCCTGGCCTTTTGGGGGCTTCCTCGTGCCCACTGTCCCCTCTCGCTACCCACCGCCTTCTTGTGGAGAAGCAACTGCAGCATCGGAATAGCATACGCTGCCGTCTTCCCGGAGCCTGTGCGGGCGCGGGCCAGGAGGTCCTTCCCCTCCAGAGCCAGAGGTATGGCCTTTTCCTGGATCAGCGTAGGTCGCGACCAGCCCAAGTCAGCGACAGCCTAAGAAGGAAGAGGACAGGGTTCAGGCGGCGCGGAGTGCGACGACACCCCAGGTCCCAGCTTCACAACCATCCCCATACCTGCAGGAGCCGGGGATCCAGCCCCATGTGTTCAAAACCTAGCTCTTCTTGGTCCTCCATGGTGTGCCTCCGTACTGACAGTGCGCACGCGTCAGGGCGGGACAAACCAACAACGAATCAGTTCCGGAGGAAACGTCACTTCCTGGAAGTTTTCCGTGGGGGCGTTAGGCGTTGCAGCACGCAAATGCTGCTGTGCAGTGCGCAGGCTCAGAGTCGTGCCTTCCGGGTCGCTGCAGCCCGGCCCCCACCCACTCAAGCGCCAACTTTCGCTGACCCTCGGAGTAGTGTGGGCAGGACTTTGACTGCTAAGTTATGGTCAGGATCCAACCGCGCTTTGGCTGAGAAGAGGCAGCAAGGCCGCCCACCTGGGCATGTGCGTGCGCGTGGAGGTGTTACGGCTGTGTGGGTAACCAGTTTGAAATCACGATACAGAGTGTTAACCTATCAAGATAACTGTTAAACCGGGGGTGGTGGCGCAGGCCTTTAATCCCAGCATTTGGGAAGCAGAGGCAGGCGATCTCCATGAGTTCAAGGGCAGTCTTGTCTACAGAGAGTTCCAGGATAGCCAGGGCTACACAGAAAAACCTGTCTCAAAAAAAAAAAAAAAATTCAAAAACAAACAACAACAACAAAAAAACCCAGCTACTACGAATAGTCTCATGGATCCTGCCACACGCCTTGCTATCTTTCACAGAAGTGCCAGATTAACCTGACCCCTTCCTGGGACCCGACTTTTCCAGAAAACTAAAAGCTGCAGTCAGACGGTGTTACTACATACCAACTAGGCCCATTCCCTCTTCCAGAACTCCGTCCGCCGGGTATGTCCTTTGGGACCTTTTTATTCTGTTCTTTTTGAAACAAGGTCCACTATTGAGCTGTGGCTGGCCTGGAACTTTGGGAAGTAGACCAGACTGGCTGGTCTTAAAGCTGCACCACCACGTCCAACTTCATTGGAACCTCTTAAACAGTTCCTAAAGTCAAAAATACAATAAACTGTGTCTCCAAGTCTAGTTAGGTGAAGTCAGCCGACCTTGGGCTCATTTTTTTCTGAGCACCTCCCCTCCCCAAAGCCTTTCCTTCAGCTTGCCCTCAGGTCACCTAGTCTGGTCTCCCAAACCTAACAGTTTGATGTTTTAAGCCATTTGGTAATTACTGTTAGGGCAGTAATAGAAAAAGAGATTGTTGGGCATTTACCCAGGAGGGTCTTATTATAGTGAGCATCTATTAAGATAGGGGAAGCACTCCTGGTGACAGACAGATTAACTAGAAGCCTAACAGCAAAAGGCGAGTCTCTGGCACCTGTCATTACAGTGGGCTCATTCTGATAACCTATATCAGTGGTTTTCAACCTTCTTAATGCTGGACTCTTTAATACAGTTCCTCATGTTGTGGTGACCCCCAACCATGAAATTATTTTCATTGCTATGTTATAACTGTAATTCTGCTACTGTTACAAATTATAACGGAAAGGCCGGGCAGTGGTGGCACACGCCTTTAATCCCAGCACTCGGGAGACGGAGGCAGGCGGATCTCTGTGAGTTCCAGGCCAACCTGGTCTACAAGAGCTAGTTTCAGGACAGGCTCCAAAGCTACAGAGAGACCCTGTCTTCAAACAAACAAAAAAAAATTATAATGGGCCGGGCGATGGTGGCGCACGCCTTTAATCCCAGCACTCGGGAGGCAGAGGCAGACGGATCTCTGAGTTCGAGACCAGCCTGGTCTACAGAGCTAGTTCCAGGACAGGCTCCAAAGCCACAAAGAAACCCTGTCTTGAAAAACAAAAAAACAAAAATTATAACGGAAATATCTTTTTTAAAAAAATATTTATTATGTTTACAATATTCTGTGTGTATGCCTGCATGCCAGAAGAGGGCACCAGACCCCATTATAGGTGGTTTTTTTTTTTTTTTTTGGTTTTTCGAGACAGGGTTTCTATGTGGTTTTGGAGCCTGTCCTGGAACTAGCTCTTGTAGACCAGGCTGGTCTCGAACTCACAGAGATCCACCTGCCTCTGCCTCCCAAGTGCTGGGATTAAAGGCATGCGCCACCACCGCCCGGCTATAGGTGGTTTTGAGCCACCATGTGGTCACTGGGAACTGAACTCAGAACCTTTGGAAGAACAGGCAATGCTCTTAACCTCTGAGCCATCTCTCCAGCCCTGGAAATATCTTGAAAAAGGTTGAGAACCACTGATCTAGACTAGCTCCTTATTTCAAAGTTATCTGGTTAGTAATCTGTCATGCCCAGTGGCATTCATAACTTTCAGAGGCACTGGGGCAGTCAAGTTCCTGTCTACTCCTCATACACAAGCCTGCATCTGCTAAGTCTCCAAAGCGGAGCTGAAAGGGATTAGCAAGAGAAACCCTGCTGTTTATTGCGTGTTTATTGTTGGATAAGCCCACCAAAGCCTGGCCTTTTCTAGCCTCTTTCTCTATCAGGTCTAGACTTCTTGAGAAAACAACACAGCAGAAACGTATCTCTTCTTAAGACCTTGCACTATGGGTCTAAACATCTAAGTCATTTAAAGGCATCTTACTTCTGGACATGTTGGCACACTTATGATTCCAACACCTGAAAGGCAGGTCCAACAGGATCTTAAAAACTAACACAAGTGCTACCTCAAGGCTATCTCAAAAACAAACCAAGACCTTCTCTTACTGGTCATGGTGGCACATGCCTTTAATCCCAGCACTCTGGTGGCAGAGGCAGGTGGATTTCTGTGAGTTCAAGGCCATCCTGGTGGCTATGTATAGATACTGTCTAAAAAAACTAAACAACTCTCTCAACACCTAATTTATTCTAATCCACACTCCCCTCCCAAGACAGGGTTTCTCTGTGTAGCCTGACTTTCCTGGACCTCACTCTGTAGATCAGGCTGGCCTCCAATTCAGAGATCTACCTGCCTCTTCCTCCTGAGTGCTGGGATTAAAGGTATGCACCACCACCTGGCTTCCCATCCTGATCCTAAACTGAAGACTGTAAACTTTTTCAAGTATCAGAGGAATTATTCTGGTGGTTATATGGCCATCCAGAATTAGAAATAGGAGGATTATGTAGGACTTTTTTTTTTTGTCCTTCCTCTTTGCAAACTAAAAAAATTGCATATACTCTAAGTGTAAAACAGGTTCGTATGTAGTAGAGTACACAGAAATAAGGGGAGAATTTAGCTCTATAAGTCAGAAAAAGAAAATTTAATAAATATTCCAAATAAATATATAATAAAACTGTGAAATAAAATATCAAGAATGGGCAACTACTGGCATGAGGCTTATACAGAAGGGGGTGAGGGGTATGTCTTAAGAGCTGTTTATGATTCAGGGGCTTTGTTTTGCTAGTTCCTTGCTAACATCTTATTTATTAGGGTGACTTTACAGAATGGTTAAGCAATCCACTCATCCACTCCCAGGCCAAGTCTTAGCAAGAGCGCCCATTGAAGTCTAACCCCACATTTTTTACAAAGGCAAGATGTCTACACCAGTAACCTCCCCATCTTTTTTTGGGGGGGAGTGAGCTTACCTCTGTCCACAACCTATTATTGTCTATCAAACATAGCTACTATGTTTATTTCATTGGAAAAAAAAATCTGCATACAGAACCAAAATCTGGTTCCCTTGAAGGAAATATTTGTCAGGTGTGGTGGCACATGCCTCTTTAGTCACAGCAGTTGGTAGGTAGACACAGGTGGATCTGAGGCTAGTCTACATAGGGAGCTCCAGGCCAGCCACAGCAACAGAGACTGTCTCAAAAACAAAACAAAAAGAACCTACAAACCATTGCCACTGCTTAGTGAAAACTGAGGGGAGAATACACTGCTCCAAGTTACTCTGTCCCTCTCTTCAACTCTGGGACTGATGGATCGGACTCACAAGTGTTCAAGAGAACTCTTCTTGGCCTTGTAACATGGACTTGAGAGTAACTACAGTATCTGCTTTCTGGCCCCAGACTGCTGAAATTCTGAGCACGTCATGGCAGTTACTAAAAGTGTGGGAATTAAGTAGAATGCATAAGGTCTGGATTGGTGCTTTTGGCTATTATAGGCAGTGATGATTCAACCAGGAAGGAAAATACATATAATTTATCCAAAAATAGTTCTAAAATATAGAAAACATCTCAATCCTTCAGGGCCAAGAACTGGCCCTTATTTACATTCACAAAGCCATTGAAAGAACTCAGGACTGACCCAGGAACACCGAGGCAGGGCCTCCTTCATGGGACATGCCGGTTGTCCACTGCAGAGATAGACAACCAGAAAACGGAAGAGCATTTGGTCATCTCTTCAAAAACAGGAGAATCACCAGGGGCAAAAGAAACGATTTGATCTTGGGTTAATTCCAACTTCTCCCAAACCCTAAGGCGGATTTTGAAAGCGTGGACCAATGTCTGCTTCTTGGAGAACCAGGGTCAAAAGGTAGCTGATCTCAGCGGCTTATTGCCATGACACCAATGTGAGACACATTGATTTTTCACTTTTCCTCCTCCTCAAAATCCAGGTGGGTGGGGCCAGGTGGGGAAATGATCAACTAATTGGGGTAAAGGGGAAGGGTTATACAGCAAGAGCCCTACACCAGCTTCTTGGCCTCAAAGAAGCTCTTGAGGTGCCGCATCTGCCAGATTCCAGTGAGGATGAGGATGACAGTCTGGGCGATGGACCACCACAGGACCCTCTGATTGGTGCTCTCACTCGTCAGGCGGAAGCGTTCTTCACGGTACTGCGCGGGACAGTGAGCAAAGGATTAGAATGGGTAGGAAAACACAATCTCCCATTACAAGGGCCCTCTATTCGTGTGACGCACAACTCCCAGACCAAATGCCATCTGTAATTCCGTCAGGTGACTAGTCTCTCCAAGACTGCCCCTAGGAAGGAAAGTGATGTCCCTCTACAACCATCTCTGCTAGGACTAAGATAATGCTTCTATAATAAGAGCCCATGGAATACAAGCAATAGGTACTCCTAAATTGTGTGTTGTCCTCTCTAGAGTGGCTCATACAATTTAGAAATAACTACCCAAAGCAAGATGAGGTCTCTACATACAACAGGCTATTATTTCACCTTAAAAGGAGAGCTCTACAGTTGGACAGAGGCTGGAGAGATGGC